AGGGGGTGCAAAATCGAAAGTTTGAGGGGGGGGGGGGATGCAAATCGAAAATCGAAAGTTTGTCCCCGGGAAGGGTCGCTACGCCTCCATTAACCCCCGCACCAGGTGACACCCGACCTCGATACGCCACTGAATATGAATAAAACCGTGACATCCTCTTCTGTATTGATGTGATTTGTATTCACTCGCCCCTATGTTACTTCCGCTCATGATAATGTTTAAGCAGGAAGTCTTGATACAAATAGTACATGGGCAAGTAAGATCTAACTTTAAACTAGGCCCTAAGTTATAACTGTTGAAACTAGTATGCCCCTAAATTTATTTTACAACGGAAGTATTTTTTTTTAATAATATGGAATCGCTCAACATTGAATACACATTTGTAATAAAAAGCGAGTGATCTTCCCTAAACTTTCTCGAATATTCTTATATAAAATAACAGGGGATGGAAACTCGGGCTATAGACATGATTTTTAATCCATTTTAAATACTTAAAGTTTTAAAATTAGAATAAAATCTCGTAGACAAATTAATTGCACACTAAGTGAACGCCAAATAAAAAAGTGCATAATAGTGCGCAATATTATTAGTACTTTAAAAATTTACACTAGTTTTTTGAGAAAACGGAAGTAACGTAAATTACTACTTCGGTCAACGGAAATTACTCAAAATTTAACAGAAGGTAGAGAATTAGATCTTTTACTTACATGTGAAATTTCATTTATCTATCTGAAACAGTACTCAAGTTATAGGCTTTTGAAAAATTCAAAGTAGGAAAAGTACCACTTCCGGTTATCGGAAATCGCTCAAAAGTTGATACGGATCTACGATTTTGATAAAATACTTATATATGAAATTTCAGCAACCTAGCTGTAACAGTACTCAAGTAATCGTGTTTACACACACACACACACACACACACACACACAGAGACACACAGACACACAGACATACGGACAAGATTGCAAAATTATGTTTTTCCGTATCAGTGAGATGTAAAACGTCGAGATTTGTAAAAATCTCGATTTTTTTTGCACGATTACAAGACTTTCTCTATACTTCGTATATATGAGAAAGTAAAAATAATTGTGAGATCCTTTTTGATATATATGAAGCGAGATATATTTTAAAATCTTATTTTTAGTAACATTTTTCACATGTTTTTTTCCAAACATTATAACGATTTCACATCAGTCTTTTTTAAATGTAAGAAAAAAAATTGTTTACCCACTTTGGACTTAAAGACATGTTCCGTGTCAGGCAATCTATATATATAATTCTCTTCTGGGATCAGTTAGAAAACAAGCTGCAAGCGCGCCTTTGCAGTCCCCTCTCTTCCTCTCTATCACTATCACTACCACCCCCACCCCACCCCCACATGATCTGGTGAGCGGTGTTCACTCTGTTTACATTTTACAATTATAGAGACGGGTTTGGTGACGGCTATTAGGGGCAGATAATTGAGTTTGAAACGATTTTAAACTTAGAGGAGGTAACTAAGAGGAGGCTGCTTTCACGTGGGGGGGGGGGGTGTAGTGTTTTTAAGCAAATATTTTCAATGGCAGCATTGGTACTGTCGAATTTACAAATTATAAATTACTGAAAAGTAGAAAAAAACAACAACTAAATAGCGGCGTATGATACGCAGCGGGTCGGCTCGTTATATATATTGTCTCCGATGCTCACTACTCACGGACTGGGGCTTATGTTCTGGCTTATCCCCGAACAGAATAGTTATCACATTCAGTGGCGTAGCGAGGTCGGGTGTCAACCGGTGCGGCACTTAATTGTGTCATCCCCAGAGGCGTAGCGACATTTCCCGGGGACAAACTTTCAATTTTCAATTTATAACCACCCCCCCCCCCCCCGTCAAATTTTCGATTTGCACCCCTCCCTCAAACTTCCGATTTACAGCCTCCCCCCCCCCCCCCCCCCACCCCCTCAAACTTTTGATTTGCAAGTCTTAAAACACTATTTATCATTTTTGTCTATATAGTTTGCTATTTTTTGCCTTGGTGTCATCCCCTAAATGGTGTCACCCGGTGCGCTCCGCACCCCCGCCCCCCCCCCCCCCTCGCTACGCATCTAATATCATTATGTCTTTTCCCGAATTCACATCCCAGTTAAGGCGTGTAGAACTCACTCTTCAGCTACCACCAGTCAAAGACCAGACGACCCTACTACACATAGAAGCCACACATATTCGCGTACATTTTAATTTCAAGTAACTATGAAGGTAGAAGTTGTGATTTATTTAAAATTGCAATTAGCCTACAAAAATACAGCAACCGCCACTACTAACGCAGGGTTTGCTTATTTTATTTGTGAAGTCAATAGTATTTCATTTGAATTAAATATATTTTGTACTTTTTTTGGTTTATTGCCTCACACAAAAATCTTATACATGCAAAAAGTAACAACATAAATTACAATTAAATGAAACAATGCAAAAAAATTCAAATTAGATTCAACTTTATTCAACCCATTTGTTAACCTAAAACAAGTAAGTATATAGATGCTTCAACACTTTTTATTTTGCTTTTGATTTGCAATAATACAGTACTATATTTTCATAGTTATAGCATATATTTTCATTAGCAGCTTACAATCTTCAATTTTCAATATACATTTGATACGATATTACCAAAAAGGAAAGCAAATAAATTGGTTATGTTCATAAAATTCATATTTTGTAAGTCATTTTCATGCTATTATTTGTTTTTAAAAAAACATGTTTTTTTGTAATATGCATCTTTTTGTAAAAACGATAAAATGCAAATTAGTTACAAACAAATAGAAACTTAAAATAATTGAAAATAAAAAATTGCATTTCCTTATAAGGATAATGCATTTTAATACTTAATATAACAAATTCTAGTCTCCTATATTGAAAAATTAATTAAAAAAAAAATCATTTGATTTAATTCATTTTTTAGAATTCAGTCAGTAGTCTTTATGCTGTAAAATTAAACCTATTGATGGAGCCTGAATGGTCTCTGTGGGGGCCGAGTGGTTTAATTTTAAAACACTTGACAGCTAACTACGTAGTGTGGGTTTTAAATCTGAAATATAATACGTACTTAGTAGATATATATATATGTTTGTATATTTGTATATATATACATATATATTTACATTTACATATACATATATATATATATATATATATATATATATATATATATATATATATATATATATATATATATATATATATATATATATATATATATATATATATATATATATATATATATATATATATATACATAGGCTATATATGTGTTTGTCTCCAAAAGATAAATGGTTATATAAGCAGGGTAGCAAATAATTTTTTCTTTTTTTTTAAGAAACCGATGAGAAGACTTTACATATTATATCCGCTCCACTAATTATCAAAATGTTACTCAAACTTGTTTTAACATCGTCTATTACTATCTATTGATTAATCGGAAAAAAAGAAGAAGCGAAAGTGAACGAAAACCTATGTTGTACATAAAATGCAATTATTTGTATACAGACCTTCTTGTGTGCATGTTTCGCTACACATCACATGCATAGGTTCATCAGCAACACCACCACACCACCACACACATCACCAACACCACCACACACACGTGCAATAATACACTCAGACGATCGCTTGTGGCTCCGGAGGTAGAGTAATAATTATCCGTTACTGAAAATTGTAAAGAATGTGGCCTATTAATGTATATATATATATATATATATATATATATATATATATATATATATATATATATATATATATATACAACTAAATAGCGGCGTATGATACGCCGCGGGTCAGCATATATATATATATATATATATACATATATATATATATATATATATATATATATATATATATATATATATATATATATATATATATATATATATATATATATCCTAAATACCATAAATATTGTACTGTGAGATTATTTGTCAGGGATCATTTGTCAATAGTATCATTTTTCCTGATATATTTTTTTCTCGGGATATTTTGTCTGACATAATTTGTCCTGTCGCCGTATATAAATATATATATATAAACATTCGGGCAAGTGTCCATTCGGGCATTTGTCGCATTCGGGCAAGTGTCCATTCGGGCATTTGTCGCTTTCGGGCAAGTGTCCATTCGGGCATTTGTCGCATTCGGGCAAGTGTCCATTCTGGCGTTTGTCGCATTCGGGCAAGTGTCCATTCAGGCATTTGTCGCATTCGGGCAAGTGTCCATTCGGGAAATCGGCCTTCGGGCAAACGGCATTCGGGCAAGTGTCTTTCGGGAAAACGTCCGGCTTCCATGCTAGAGAATTGTTCGAAGGCATTAGTAATGAGTTTGATGTGCTCAGAGGTGTAGCGAGGGGGGACACATAATAAATTGAAAGGTTGAGAGGGGGTGTACATTGAAAGGTTGAGGAGGGGTGCAAATCGAAATCTTGAGAAGGTGGGTGCAAATCGAAAGTTTGAAAGGGTTGGGGGTGCAAATCGAAATTTTGTCCCCGGGTGCCGGGAAGGGTCGCTAAGCCTCTGGATGTGCTACATAATGAGCTAGACTGATAAACCGAAAGTTTCAAGTTAGACTCCGCGTTCAAATTAGTTGAAATGTCCCAGAGTTCACCCACCTCTGATGGGTACCTAACTCACGTTAGGGAAAGAAAAGCATAATGGTGACCACATTATTGCTACATAAGCCGAGGTCTCAACAGGAGGTACACAATACTTCATCAGCCCCTTTTTTTTGGAAAAAAAACGGACAATGATGATAATAACACTTTAATCGTTTAACGTTGTCTTCATAGGTCAGAGGCGTAGCGATGGGGGGGGGGAACATATGTCCGACCTTAGGGGGCGCCAAAATGGGTTGGAAAAAGTAATCAAAAGTTTGAGGGGGGTGCAAATCGAAGGTTAGAGGGGTGGTTGCAAATCGAAAGTTTGTCCCCGGGCGCCGGGAAGGGTCGCTACGCCTCCGTAATAGTGTAATAGGTACACACCTGTGAGGTTTTGACAGCTAAGCGCAGTCTTGACCGTCCCGAGTGTCTCATTGTAGGTGACCTCACAGCAGTACATGCCAGTGTCTTGAAAATCCGCCTTCGGTACCTCGATCTCAAGTCTAGGGCTGGCCGTGAAAGGCTGGTTTTCTGGTGGGATGTTGAGCACGCTAAATAACCAGGCCGATTTCAGCTCATTGTGATGGCCCTGTTTTACGTGATATACAAGCATGACCAGCGATAAAATGTTAATGTTTGTAAGTATAAACAAAGAGTGACTATATTTACATTGTAGCATAATAAAATAAAGTTCGGCAACATATGACGTACCCAGGCCGATTTCAGCTCATTGTGATGGCCCTGTTCACAACAAGCATGACAAGCGATAAAATGTTAATGTTTGTAAGTATAAACAAAGAGTGACTATATTTACATTGTAGCATAATAAAATAAAGTTCGGCAACATATGACGTACTCAGGCCGATTTCAGCTCATTGTGATGGCCCTGTTTTACGTGATATACAAGCATGACAAGCGATAAAATATTAATGTTTGTAAGTATAAACAAAGAGTGACTATATTTACATTGTAGCATAATAAAATAAAGTTCGGCAACATATGACGTACCCAGGCCGATTTCAGCTCATTGTGATGGCCCTGTTCACAACAAGCATGACAAGCGATAAAATGTTAATGTTTGTAAGTATAAACAAAGAGTGACTATATTTACATTGTAGCATAATAAAATAAAGTTCGGCAACATATGACGTACCCAGGCCGATTTCAGCTCATTGTGATGGCCCTGTTCACAACAAGCATGACAAGCGATAAAATGTTAATGTTTGTTAATATAAACAAAGAGTGACTTTATTTACATTGTAGCATAATAAAATAGTTTAACAACCTATGACGAAATCAAAGTGTATTAATATAATTAGTTATATATGTTTAGTCTCCGCAGTTTTCCGATTGCGCATATTTCTGGAAACAGTAGATAACACTAAAAACAATGTTATAAAATATAGTTCATAAGGACGTTTGTATAGATTAACATTCATTATTTTTTTTTTATTTCAAGACAGTAAGGCTTATAACATGCTAATGTTAAACATTAAAACAATTTAAAATTTAATACACCGCGTGCATTAAGTAAATATAAATATGCCAGTTTTTATTTTAAGCTGTTCTTGGATGAATTCAACATAATATTAATACGTTAGAGCGAAGAATGAAATTACCGAGTTTTAACATAAGCGAGCCTGACTAATGTCCCTGAATCGACCCAACGCTATATGCTAATGTATTAGACTGAAAGCAATGGGAAATAAATAGGCTTGGAATCAAACTGATCACATTATCCAATTTTTTCTAATGTGAAATAAACCGGGAGTGATCTCCCCTAAACTTTCTCGAATATTCTTATTTAAAACAACAGGGGATGGGAACTTCGGATACAGTTATGATTTTTAATTCATTTTAAATACTTAAACTTTTAAAATAGAATAGAATCTCATAGAAAAAGAATTGCGCACCAAGCGAACGCCGAATAAAGATGTGTATAATAGTGCGGAATATTATTAGAACTTTATAAATTCACATGCGTTTTTTGAGAAATCGGAAAGAGAAAAAATTACTACTTCCGGTCAACGGAAATTACTCAAAATTTGACAGAAGGCAGAAAATTAGATTTTTTACTTACGTGTGAAATTTCATTTATCTATCTGAAAGTACTCAAGTTATAGGCTTTTGAAAAATTCAAAGTGAAAAAACTACCACTCAAAAGTTGATACGGATCTACGATTTTGATATAATACTTATATATGAAATTTCATCAACCTAGCTGTAACGGTACTCAAGTTATCGTGTTTACACACACACACACATACACACACACACAGAGATACACGGACAAGATTGCAAAGCTATGTTTTTCCGACTCAGGGAGGTGTAAAACGTCGAGATTTGCAAAAATCTGGATTTTGTTTTTTACAATACTTTCTCTATACTTCGTATGTACGAGAAAGTAAAAAACAAGAACAACATAAGAACTGTATCTGCAACATCTATCCTGAGGCACGTGAGGATAATTTTTTTTATTTTTTTTTAAAATGTTTGTATAGGGAGTGGTTGAAAGGTATACCTTATGACTGCGAACCAGAAATGTTCGAGTTCGGATCCTAACCTCGAGTCTGTCGAACGTCCTGAGTCTACCCAGCTCACGATATGTAAGCTAAATGTGGCTTTGCACAATACTTACCACATTATCCCCTATATGTCTTATTCTTTCAAACAGAAGAACTCTACTTCATCTACCCAATGAGTCTTGGGCAAGATCGAAAAGAAAATGATGACTACTAACAAAGTTGTAAATAGCGTAAATCTCTTACGAGGAAAGAATAGTTTCCTTTAGAAATTGTATAGCCGAAATGATAAAACAGCAATGGGTTCCGCTCAGTTTTCCATGAGAGCTCCAGTTTGTAGACCTGTTTAAGGATGGACCAGTCCGCTTCACATCCGGCGATAAATGGTGCAGTTGCAATCACTGATGACGGCACGATTATTGTGTATGGGGCTGTAGAGTGGAAAATACAGTTTTGTTCGGTCGCCCGTGAAAGTTCAATAGTAATGAGACGATGTATAATGCATGTTAATAAAATTAATGCTAATTTTATTAAAATGAGACGATGTATAATGCATGTTAATAAAATTAATGCTAATTTTATTAAAATGAGACGATGTATAATGCATGTTAATAAAATTAATGCTAATTTTATTAAAATGAGACGATGTATAATGCATGTTAATAAAATTAATGCTAATTTTATTAAAATGAGACGATGTATAATGCATGTTAATGAAATTAATGCTAATTTTATTAAAATATAATGTGTTTTACCGAATAAATAAATTTTGTTTTATAAAAGCCAGCACTGTTATGAATAAAGTATTTTTATACAATCTATATTTAAAAATGGCTTTGTATTTTACCGACCACATTTTCACTCTGAGTTCTAAAATCATAGACACCATTGTCACTGTCAAAGCATCTTTATCTACTTTACTCAGAGGCATGTGCCAAAGGGTATCTTTCCCTTTTTTAAAAAAAAATCCTTTATTTATCTATTCATCGAACTATGGATTACCTTTTTGGAATTGAACATTCTAAACATTTTATATCGTGGTTGATTTAATGGTTTAAGATTAAGCAAAAACTTGACTTAATGTTAAGTTTAGAGCATTGATTTTATTCAAAACCAAATGTTTATTATATATAACATAGATATATAACTCAAAATTGCATGCTAAAAAAAAATTTAAATCGGAATAAATTCTAAGATGGTTTATACAAATTACCATAAAAACGTTAAGGATTTCATAGACATTGTTGGTAATAATTCAAATTGAGAAAATTGTATATTTTAAGTTAGATTTTTTAAAATTTTCTTTTTCCAGACAACCATTAAAAAACCAAACGTTAAATTAAAGATAAATAATGTACAATGCCAACTGTATTAGATAAATAATTCCAATTGAGCAAAATTTTATACTTTAAGTTATATTTGTTTTTAATTTTTTTTTCCAGACAACCGTTCAATAACCAAACGTTAAATTAAAGATAAATAATGTACAATGCCAACTGTATTAGATAAACGACAGGCACGTTTTCTTATGTTACAAATATAATTCAATGCATCTGTTATTATTTAGTCTGACGATTTCGGAATAACTAACGAAAAAAAAATATATGACATACCAATTTTTTTGCACTCTCCATGTTCTGACCACTCGTTCAATAAATCCACTGTGTGACACGTGATGCTGTCCACGCCACTCACGATGTAGCCCTCGTTACACGTCAAATAACAAACGCTGTCGACGGTGTGCTCACACGGATGTCTCCAGTCGCCGTCTTGTACTTCAGGTGGTAATTCACACGTCACACCTAATATTTGTAAGTGGAAATAGAACATTAAAACCTCTATTTCAGGTGGTAATTCACAGGTCACACCTAAGATTTGAATGATAAAACCCAAGTCACACCTAAGACTTGAATGATAAAACCTAAGTCAAACCTAAGATTTGAATAATAAAACCTCTATTTCAGGTGGTAATTCACACGTCAAACCTAAGATTTAAACAATAAAACCTAAGTCACAACTAAGATTTGAATAATAAAACCTCTATTTCAGGTGGTAATTCAAAAGTCACACCTAAGATTTGAATGATAAAACCTCTATTTCAGGTGGTAAATCACACGTCAAACCTAAGATTTGAATGATAAAACCTAAGTCACACCTAAGATTTGAATAATAAAACCTCTATTTCAGGTGGTAATTCAAAAGTCACACCTAAGATTTGAATGATAAAACCCAAGTCACACCTAAGACTTGAATGATAAAACCTAAGTCACAACTAAGATTTGAATAATAAAACCTCTATTTCAGGTGGTAAATCACACGTCAAACCTAAGATTTGAATGATAAAACCTAAGTCACACCTAAGACTTGAATGATAAAACCTCTATTTCAGGTGGTAATTCAAAAGTCACACCTTAGATTTGAATAATAAAACCTCTATTTCAGGTGGTAATTCACAAGTCACACCTAATATTTAAACAATAAAACCTAAGTCACAACTAAGATTTGAATAATAAAACCTCTATTTCAGGTGGTAATTCAAAAGTCACACCTAAGATTTGAATGATAAAACCTAAGTCACACCTAAGACTAAATGATAAAACCTCTATTTCAGGTGGTAAATCACACGTCAAACCTAAGATTTGAATAATAAAACCTCTATTTCAGGTGGTAATTCAAAAGTCACACCTAATATTTGTATGTGGAATTAGAATAATAAAACTTTTATTTTAGGTGGTAATTCAATGGTCACACCTAATATTTGAATAATAAAACCTCTATTTCAGGTAGTAATTCACTTGTCACACCTATGATCTGAATAATAAAACCTCTATTTCAGGTGGTAATTCACAAGTCACTCCTAAGATTTGAATGATAAAACCTCTATTTCAGATGGTAATTCACAAGTCACATCAAATATTTGAAAGGGAAATAAAATATTAAATCTATTTCAGTGGGTAATTCACACCTCACACATAATATATGTAAGTGGAAATAGAACATTGAAAACCTCTATTTAAGATGGTAAGTCACAAGTCACACCTAATATTTAAATAATAAAACCTATATTTCAGGTGGTAAGTCACACATAAGATTTGTGTGTGGAAATAGAATATTAAAATATCTATTTCACAAGTCACAGCTAATATGCGTATGTGGAAATACAATATTAAAACCTCTAATTTAGGTGGTAAATCACAAGTTACACCTAATATTTGAATGTAAAAATAGAATATTAAAACCTCTATTTAGCAAGTCACATCTAATATTTGTATGTAGAAATATCATATTAAAATATCTATTTCAGGTGGTATTGCATAAGTTAAAACTAATATTCGCATGTAAAAATGGTTTGAAGGTTATCTTTTTTACTTTCTCGTATATACGTAGTATAGAGAAAGTATTGTAATCGTGCAAAAAAAAAAAATCGAGATTTTTACAAATCTCGACGTTTTACACCTCACTGATACGGAAAAACATAATTTTGCAATCTTGTCCGTATGTCTGTGTGTGTGTGTGTCTGTGTGTCTGTCCGTGTGTAAACACGATAACTTGAGTACCGTTACAGCTAGGTTGATGAAATTTCATATATAAGTATTTTATCAAAATCGTAGATCCGTATCAACTTTTGAGCGATTTCCGATAACCGGAAGTGGTACTTTTCCTACTTTGAATTTTTCAAAAGCCTATAACTTGAGTACTATTTCAGATAGATAAATGAAATTTCACATGTAAGTAAAAGATCTAATTCTCTACCTTCTGTTAAATTTTGAGTAATTTCCGTTGACTGGAAGTAGTAATTTACGCTACTTCCGATTTCTCAAAAAACTAATGTAAATTTTAAAAGTACTAATAATATTGCGCACTATTATACGCGTTTTTATTCGGCGTTTGCTTGGTGCGCAATGTTTTTTTTATGAGATTCTATTCTATTTTTAAAAGTTTAAGTATTTAAAATGGATTAAAAATCATAACTGTATCCCCAGTTACCATCCCCTGTTGTTTTATATAAGAATATTCGAGAAAGTTTAGGGGAGATCACTACCGGTTTATTTAACTATACTTTACTACAGAATATTTTTGCATTAGTCTTTGAAGAATATGGTAAGCGCAAACGTCCAATATTTATAGCACTAATTTTAACAAATTAAAATACATTTAATAAAAAAATCTGAAAGTATTACGTGTATACTTCATATTTATGTATGCATTAAATTACTCTGAAAGCGAATTTCATTTAGACACATAGTTCGTTATGAATCAAAGTATTTTAATCTCAACTTCTTCTAAGTGAAAAAGCCAATAGAACACTACTTTCTTTTTTGTTATTCCTATTTTTAAATCACTCAAACGGATTATGGATAATATTTAAACTACATTCATTAATTTATCAAAAGCGAAATTCTGTACAATTTAGTATAATATATTTAGATGCATACATTCCTAAACGAATTAAAATCAATGATACATGCGATTTGAGCTTCAAGTCAAAAAAAAATAAATTAAAGTTTCTAAATGTATGTCCAGAAATTACCTAAATATAAATTAAAGTAAGTGCATTGATATAATGTTATGAATGAAAAAAAACGAGAATCTTGCCAACAAATTTTTCATAAACTAGTTTCCTGTAAGAATATAAATAATGACGTAGAAAATATCACAAGGATAATAATATATTGTAAAGAAATTAATGCTTTCTTTTCAATGTGTAACTAATAGGTAGGCTTTCAGTAGGTTTATACATCATTGAATATCTCCCCTAAATGTTCGTACATATTTGAGCGAGTTAGCAATTTCATACCATAATATGTTGGCATGAGTGTTTAATAATTGAAACAATAATACGTTATCTACACACCGACATGTTTGCAGGTTCCTGCGTTAGACCATTGAAATTGGTAGGACTTTTCAACACACATGACATAGTCAGCTCCGTCTAAGTTATAGCCCTTTTCACACTCCAGTGAACAAATGCTGCCGACCGTGCGCTCGCAGGGGCTCTTCCAGTTGCCGTGGTCAACACTGGGCGGATCTACACACCCAACTGATGAGAAAAATAAAAACTCGGGGATTGTTCAACAGCAAAATGAAAATTTCATTGAATAATAGTGCGTGTAAGTAAGTTACCAGCTTTTCGTTCTCGTACTGATCAGCTAGTATTTTTTAAACTAAATGTAAATATTTTTATTTCATTCGTAAAAAAAAATGAAAATTTACTTCCCCTATTGTTTTTCAATAGCGAAATGAAAATGCACTGAATTATAGGGCTTGTAAGTAAGTTACCAGCTTTTCGTTCTCTAACTAATCAGCTAGTATTTTTCAAACCAATTGTGAATATTTGTATTTAATCGGTTTAAAAAAAAAAGAAAAATAGAAAATTTACTTCCCCTATTGTTATTCAGCAGCGGAATGAAAAATTTACTGAATAATAGGGCTTGTAAGTAAATCAGAGACGTTGCGAGTAGGGGGCGGTGGGTGCGGACCGCACCGGGTGACACCATTTAGGGGGTGACAACCAGCCAAAAATAATAAAAATATAAAAAGGAAAAAAACGATCAGTTCAGTTAAATAAATGATTATTTAGATTTAAAAAGTCTTAACATTAAGAGCGAAATTGACCAATCAAGACAAAGTTGGTGGAGGGTGTGTGTGTGGGGGGGGGGGTGGGTGACACTATGACGTAAACCTGCTAACGATATAGAAAACTATACTACATCCAGCTGTATTTATAACCGACTATAGATGAACATCGTTAGAATTATCGTTGCCCAATTTAAAGCTATCATCGGGTGGAGGGGTGAAGGGGGTTGAAACCAAATAAACGTTGCAAAATTTGTCTGAAGAAAAAAGTTTTCTTAATAATTGTAATAACTGACATGTCAATCCACGTCTGGGGCTGGGGAGGGGGGGAGGGGGGACGGGGGACGGGGACACCTGTTGTTGCCGCACCGGGTGACACCCGACCTGACGATTTACTGATCAGCTTCTATATTTCGAATATGTATATGAATATTTTTATTTAATCGGTAACAAAAAAAAAAAAAAAAAAAAAAAAAAAAAAGAGAGAGAAAATAGAAAATTTACTTCCGCTATTATTAAGTTTTTTTTAAAAATTGTGAACAATCATAATTATAGACTAAATGATGTAGGCAATTTTAAAGGAAAATATAGCCTAAGTATAATAACGATTTTTTAAGCATGCAGTTTGTTATTATTTATTTGAATTCGTAACATGTTGTCCTTAATTAATATACATATTTAAAGCCTAGGCCAAGGGTTCTTAATTAGAATTAGTAAGACTTTTTTTTATAATTGTAGTATTGCGGGTACTCTTTGTATTTTAAAATCTTGAAGCGAAGCCTAGAAACAATTACAGCCATGTTTTTTTTATGAATGGGAATCTCGTTCAAAATAATTGAAATTTAGTTAAAAAATGTATCTCTCTTTAGCTAACGAGATTTCGAATTTTAAGCGAGAGAGACCGAGATTTACAAGCCCTATTACGTGTACAAAACAATATACCAACTATTCCAACCTTGAACGCATTTCCCTTGCTCGGTCCACGTCGCCTGTCTGACGTCAACAACACAGTGGACGGTGGCAGGACCTTCTAGAACATACCCAGGGTCGCACTCAATGGTACAGCCTCCCTTTGGCGAGCAGTTCTTCCACTTTCCGTTTTCTAGCGTTGATCGCAGGGGGCAGTTCACAACTTTAAAAAAAAAAGTGTATTTGTTGCAAAGGCGTAGCGAGGGGTGGGGGGGGGGGGGGGGGGGGGCGGGGGGGACTTTTGTCCCCGGGCGCCGACCTTAGGGGGGGCGCCAAATTGAAAGTTCGAGGGGGGGGTGCAAATCGAAAGTTTGAGGGGGGGGGGTGCAAATGAAAAGTTCGAGGGGGGGGGTGCAAATGGAAAGTTTGAGGGGGGGGGGTGCAAATGAAAAGTTCGAGGGGGGGGGTGCAAATCGAAAGTTTGAGGGGGGGGGTGCAAATGAATGAGAAGTTCGAGGGGTGGGGGTGCAAATCGAAAATTTGCTCCCGAGGTGGGAGCCAAATTGAAAGTATGTCCCCGGGCGCCGGGAAGGGTCGCTACGCCTCAGATTTGTTGAATTAATTCATTATTCTTCTTCGTTCTTAATTTTAGTGTTGGAAGGGATTCCCTCCAACACAATTAAGAATACGTGCCAACTGGTTATGCGCCATTCATTGACTCCGAAATCAGCCTGCTTTTCTATTTGTATTTTCTTACAGCAGTTGTTTGATTTTGGAGGGTTTGAACTTGAGACTTTTCGGTTTAGCAACCAACTCGACCACGCCGACCTGTTAATTCTCCATTAAGTATATATTATGTGCTACACAAGTTTACGTTTTTCAGAGTTCAATGCTAAGAACAAAATATTAACTAAGATATGACTATCATGATGTTTTTTGATAGGAAATATATACATTTTTAAGTTAGATATACTGGACATGTGTTATAATTATTGTTTAAAAACTGTTTGGGCATTATGCCATGACGAACAAGATTCACAAGACCTGATTTCTATTTTCGTTAATTAGCTGCGTATGGGTCTAATTATATTCTCTCATTAAAGATTCTATAATAGGGACGGCGTGGCCTAACGGTAGAGAGCTAGATTGTTGATTGGTACCTAGCGTTAGGGACATAAACGTGGTTGGCAAAGTGCTTAGAATATTAAACCCCTTGTATGCTGCGGTCATTGAAACAGATGAACTCTACTGCATACGCCTTACGTGTCTTGTGTTCAGAAGGGATATGATGATGAAAGACAAACATTAATGAAAAATCGTATTTGGATTAGGAAATAAACGTTAAGCTGCTGTCTAAATACAGTGTATTGCCCCTGCACATTCCTACACTTTCCTTTCTCTTTTTTAGGGACATCACTGGGTCAGGAGTTGTCTCCCATTAGCCAGGCTGGCTTCGACACGGCTAACGCCGACCAACTGTCTAGGTCAGTCTAGGATATCGGTTTGATTACCGTGTATCGGTCGCTTCTGTCTTCGGTTCTCACTAGGCTTATCTTCCACCCCACTGAACGCTGGGTAAACCCGCACCCCACCGTCACGTACCCGGGTAATTTGGACGTTCCAATACTGAAGGGGTGAGTAATTGTTTTTGCTGGAGGGCCTCTTTGTGGTATGGTATTTTAGCGGAGGGTCGCACTGCTTAAAATGTTGCATTGATAAAACTGAAATAAAACTGACAAACCGGAAAAGCATTTATTTCCTTGCCTGCGCATGCACATTGACATAGCCGCTCTAATGGGAAAAAAATACGAGGCGAACTTTTGTTCGCTGACATGAAGCAAATCTCATTTAAAGGATGGTTTTTTTTGAATACCTGGCAGGCAACACAACTCTGTGGATAGCCGCACTTTGCCCAACCCCTGCTTTACTGTACGATGATATTTTTACAAGCTTTTATTTAACTCGCTTCTTCGTCAGTCTGTCGTCAGTCTGTCAGTCTAGATCGAAACGCCGAAGCGAAAATTCGGACACTTCTAACTGACAGATACGGTTCGTAATTGGTACGTGGGTCAAGACATGAAGACAATACATTATGACATTTAATTTGACTTAATTGGATGCCTAATAAATTTTTTTATGAATTATGAAGTCATAATCTCACCGTCTAAATATTGGCATCCATGTTTAAAAATCTTGTCGCCATCCGTGTTTAGGTACGTAACGGCGCAGCAGAAATACCCAGTGTCCGTGTAACTGGTTTCATTGATGGTTATCCCAAGGGTAACTTCAGTCTTGTTAAACATCTTGTTTGGGTTTACGACTGGCGTAGTGTGGGTGTAGGCCCAGTGGGACTTCGCAGGATTCTTTAGTATGTTTACTCCATTGGGGATTTCCTGATGAAATAACATTAGTATTTTATTGCGATATGCTATATAACTTACAACAATAAAGATATGATGTTTATTGTAATCTAAGTTTTTCTTTTTTTTTAAGTTTTTAAAAAATATTTCCATTTAGTAGTCTGATTGGCTTATAACAAAAATATAACTCATATTAGAAATTCATTGATGTGTTTAAGTAAACATGCTTTTAAGTATACACTGATGTTTGTGTGCATGTGTTTGTGTGTGTGTCCGTGCATGCGTGCGTACGTACGTGTGTGCATGTGTGTGTGTGCGTGTGTGTGTAAATATGTGTGTGTGCGTGTGTGCGTGCGGTAAGTATGAGGTTGTTTAGACATGCATTGTTAAGCATTATATTCAACGTGTAAGCGCCTTGAGGGTTCTGGAGAAGGGACGGGGGTGTATAGTGATAGTGGGAAACAGGTTAAGGGTGGATAATTGAAATAATGGTTGAAGAATTGTTAGTACATTGATGTGTTTTCATGTGACTTCATTATTGGAATTTATTGTAAGTCAATGTATGTATTATATTGTGATGCTATTAATGTATTAAGATGTGCATTCGTCCGTGAATTTCATTTGAATTTACGCATGCATTATTTTGTAAGTAGGCCTACGCTCATGTTTTATCTTGTTAGTATATTTGTGTAACGCAGTTTGATTACATTCATGTTTTATCTTGTGAGCAGAGGCGTAGTGAGGGGGGGGGGCAGGGTTGCTGATTACACCGGGTGACACCATTAAGAGGGGAGAAACCAAGGCAAAAAACAATATCCCATACTAAAGTCAATATTTTCCAATAGGCCTACTACTATACGAACTATTATGCTCCTATAAAGCTTACAACGCCATCTATACTTACAACAGACATGTACACAATTCTCGAGCTTTTATCAATGCCTTGATCAGCTTATACTAAAGTTATTTTTTTCCAATAGGCCTACTATTATACGAACTAGTATGCTCCTATAAAGCTTACAACACCACCCATACACACAGCAGACATGTTGTAAAAAATTATCGAGCTTTTACGAGTAGTTGATCACCCCATGCTAAATTCAATGTTTACACTACTACTATACGAACTATTATGCTCCTATAAAGCTTACAACGCCATCTATACTATAAACAGACATGTACACAATTCTCGAGCTTTTATCAAGGCAATGATCAGCTTATACTAAAGTTATTTTTTTCCAATAGGCCTACTACTATATTATGCTCCTATAAAGCTTATAACGCCATCTATACTTACAACAGACATGTATACGATTCTCGAGCTTTTATCAATGCCTTGATCAGCCCATAATAAAGTCATTTTTTTTCAATAGGCCTATTACTTTTCGATGTATTATACTCCAATAATCCTACTATTATGCTCCTATAAAGCTTACAACGCCATCTATACTTACAACAGACAAGTACACAATTCTCGAGCTTTTATCAAGGCCTTGATCAGCTCATACTAGAGTCA